AAACATTTTCTCACTCTCTCTCTCTGCATGTTTTGACAGAAATGTGTCTGCCATTCCCTATGTGTTTTGCATATTGTCCTGAAGTATGCATAAAAATGCTCACCAGATCTGAATGAGGGGCTTGAGGATAGTCAGTCATAGCCTGAGAAACAAAATACTCATTTGTCATCTGCAACAGTGTCCCTCTTAACAGACTCTGCAAGATTTAGAATCTCAGCTTTCAATGCCTCTGCATCCAGACCTGCAGTATCTAATAATTCAGGAAATCTAACATCATGTGGTTTGTTGATCATCCCTGCTATGTTTACCGCTTCCCACAAATTTCCACCATTATGGACTGCAAGGCTATATGCAGCAACCACCAAGGGGTCCCTTGCTTGATCACTCAAAGTTTTATGCAATGCTAGGATACCAAACCTGAAAACAGATTCCTGATAAATTTTGCTTTGTTGACCGAACTTGTAATCAGCTTGTTAATATATCTGTGCTCTAAACCATGTATATTTGATAGTAAAATAAATTACATCACATTCCATTTAGACTCGGAATAATTTGGATAGAAGAAAAACAATGTTTAGAAACTATTCTTAACATTTAAGAGAATTGAGAAAAGACAATTTCAATCATACCCAATAACAAAGGATTTAGATAAACAAAGGCTCCAAAAATATCATTGATTTTTTATTTTTATTTTGAAGAACCAATAATTTGCTACAAAGAAAATATAAAAATTTCATAATGATAGATTGATAGATGTTTGCTGGACACTGGTGCAGGGCTCTTGGCTGTTCTGAATTCAGATTATAGTTTCTCCTAAGACAAGATTAGCATAGATGACTGTGGGCATTGCATTCTGCCCAAACAGTCACAGCCCTTGTCTTCGGCAGATGAGTTTATGAGATCTTTGGTCCTATCTCATTCAGGTTCTACAATGAGCCTCCCCCCGCTCCCCCCACTCTCCCTCCCCTTTTAGATGAAAGAACCCTTGTTCCCATTCCCCCGAGTCCCTGAGCTTTCCCAGGTTCTAGTTCTAGACCCCATTGAAGTCAAAAATAAATAAATATTGGGCATAGATATATGCAAATCTATTATATAGGATTCCATGGCAGTTTAGGCACTGAAAATATGTAACAAATTAATAGCAAAAGGATCATTATATAACTTCAATTGCTTCATAAAAGAAGAAAATTGAAGTAGATTATGGGCTTCAATTGATGACAAATGTATCAGGAAATAAAAGTTCTTTATGAGGCATTTCCTCTGAAACAGGAATTTTGAATCATGTATTCAAACATATACCACCCAATAGCATGATCTTCAAAGAACACTTAACTGCAGTTCTGCTGCCAATTATTCTTATGGATTTTCTTTCTACATAGCATTACACATTATGTTTATCAGATATGTCTAACAAAGTACAGCAAGGAAGGTAAAGGCATTGTTGTTGCATAGATGATCTTACCATAAGCTACTATGACATGGACGATTAGGTGCCAAAAGCTTGAGAAGAAAGACTGCAATGAAATTCCAAAAGATCCAATATACAATGTGTCAATATGGTACCAATATGCTATGCACTTTGAAATTACCAAGGTTTAATACCCAAGTAACAAATATTATTCTGCTTAGATAAGTCTGAGACTTACACCCCCGAACTCACCACTTGGAAATTCAAAGATTTTTTTCATGTTTACGAGACTAGTAAGAAAAGCTTGCACGAAAACAAGGTATATGCATCGTAGACTTTAATGGCTGAGAACCTAAAACGATTAAAACAAGAATGAGTTCCTAATTGTGCTAAATTAAATAAATAGATAAAAAAAAACATTTCTATGTCCTTAGGTAGTGGAACCAAGGAACTCAACATATTGCATATTCTAGTTTATATCATATGCAAGGATTATGTGAAATCAGGCAAGGTCTTGTATTAATTTCCAAACTTGTACATGTTTATATTTTTTAATGCACACCTTGATAGACAGAATAACAAACAAGTTAATGAGTTAGCTTAGGAAAGTTGATCTCTTGTATGCTATTCCACTTAAATTAATGCTGGTAAGTCAATATATAATCCTGCAAGCTTTGAAGTCTAAACTCCACAAAGATGTAAGGCATTACCAGAAGCATATTGGTTCTTTTGTCCCGTCTTTGAAATCCACTGCGAGCAAAATATGCAGCCTGTACTATTGAACCTAAATTAAACTTACATTCCATGATTGATATTTAGAAATTAATGCAAAATCAACATCTACCTGAAAGGGAAGAAGTATATCTAGAAGTCCAAATTTCCATAATAGCCTCAAAGAAGCTTCACCAGAACCGTAAGCTAGCATATAATTCATTTCCATCAGGAGCCTACCCTGAAACAATTAAAGAAGAGAAACAACTCAACCAGGATATTGGTATATAAGCAGGGAGAACACTTTAAATACCTCATCAAGTCTTAACACTGAAGAAGACAGTTTTTTAACAAAATGAGCTGTTTCCTTTGAAATATTAAATCCTAAGCGAGCAGCAATTCTAACTGCACGAAGAATGCGAGCTGCAGAAAAAAAATGGAGTCAGACATACCTAGGTAATTCAAAGAGTAGGTCATTCTAAAGCAGTTTACACTGCACAAAACATAGGAAAGCAGGGTCAAGTAACCGATCAACTGAAACTAACCACAATCTTCCTGAAATGAAGTATCTGCGGGAATTACAGTTCGCACCTATTCATACAGAAAATTAAGTTACAAAACCTCAAATCACTGCTTAGCAAAAGTAATATAAGAAACCATTACTGTTAAGACTTAAGAGATACATGCACACTTTAGCTTTTCTAATATCTTCTATTCCTCCCATGTAATCGTATGTAATTTTAGCATATGGATCAAGCATCAACCTGAAAAAGTGTGAAGTTGGTTAACAGCATAAAGAGCTGTACAAACTGAAGTAAATTCAAATTTTAAATAAAGAGGAGAGGTAAAAAAGGAGACAGTTGTAGCCATATGCAAACACCCTACCCCCGCCCCGGGAAAAAAAAATAAAAATAAAATAATAATAATAATATAAATCAATCTTTTAAGTTGCAGGGACTGGTGCACAACCCATTAATTGTAAAGTCTCGGTTTAAACAATTCATCCATCGAAGATGGTCCTTCTTGTCACAGCCATTAGGTGCTTCCATATGATGAGAGAATTTAATACCCACGTTGTATCTAGGAGTATTAAAACTTGAAACCTAATTGGGAGGGAGGTAAAATTATCATGACAAACAGCAATAAAAGAGATAGCACTTAATAGGAAAAGTTTCAAGCAATCATTCTACTAAAGAAAGTTCAGAACAAAGCTAAAATCCTTTAAAGTTAATAGAAATATACCAACCTCAACAATGGTACCATCCATGTGAACATGACATATAGGGAAACGTTTGCCAACTATCTCACACCATGAAAATATTCTCATAACCTGAAAATTGAGTCATTTTTTATCATGCAATCTTAATATCCAGAGACACCAAAACCAAAATAGAAAATTAACTTTTCGATTGAGATTGCATAAATTAACTTTTTATGCAAAGATAAATTCCAATTAAACACACTTGTTTCCCTTCTAACTGTTATATTTAATAAACTTAATGCTTGATATTTAGAATTGTCCAGCAAACGGTCATTTCATAAATAATTCGAAAAATAAAAAATAAAATAGAAGTAGGTAACCTCTTTAAGCCCAGCTGAAGTTATAATATCAAAGTCTTTTGGTGTTTGCTTTAAAATAAGATCCCGTACACAACCTCCAACAAGGTATACATCATATCCTACAGGAGGAAGAAAAACAATTTCTAGACATTTTAAAACCAGAACATTCACAACACAGGAACTAAGCAAAACACAATTCACCATAAAAAAAGCAATTTATACAGAATTATGCAAACAAAGAAATATTTAAAGACATGATGACATAGCAAACAAACATAATAATCCATATTAGATCAAATACAATTGCAACCATTTCAATACAATCAAAGCAAGGATCCAGAAATTACTACACAGTTGGAGATCACTTATCATTGTTGCTTATCTTAAATTAGAAGTCTTGAACCTTATGCTTAAGCTACGAACATTCAAACACCAAGACATATCACAGAGTAAGAGATAAATTTTTCCACAAAAATTGGCTTGTATTGCTGATGTTAGAAATAATATTATTTTATTATTATTAGAATAGTCTAGAATAGTCTAGATTGTGGGCTTGGCCCATTAGGTCATCCCATTAGGTCTTTTTAGTCTCTATAAATAGAGAGCCTCCTTGTACAGACTTACACACTTGAATATACAATATATTTCAGATTCAATTTGGTATCAGAGCTCTCGATCTGAGGGCTCTGCTTCCGCATATATATTTTTTTTCCTTTCGTTGTACTGCCGTGCATCATACCGGCAAACCTTTTTACCGCCGTGCATCATACCGGCAACCTTTTTCAACCTTCCGAACATTGTTAGACCCTTTTTCGATCTCAGATCGTCATCCTCCTTCATTATTTGACCAGAAAACACTGTTCACATCGCAAGAAACACTGTTCCGTCACTGTTCATCACTGTTCCGGCCACCTTTTCCAACCAAACCAAGGCAGACAGGCTCGCCTCTGCCTCCTCCTTCCAGATCCAGTGACCGATCGTTGCGGGTCTCTTCCGTTCGAGGGTTTCTAGTGCAAAAGTCGCTACTTTGTTCCTTTTTCGCGTAATTTTTACAGTTTTTTGGTTGTCTGATCGCTGTTCCTGATGGAAGGAACCAGTAAACATTCTTCCGGCATCATTTCAAGTGCTATTCCATTTATCACAACTCTGAAATTGACCGGATCTGCCACTTACAAGACCTGGTCTACCTCCGTTAAGATCTGGTTTACCGGTCAAGGCCATGACAAACATCTCACCACTAAGAAGACTGATATTTCCCAAGATCAGATGACTGAATGGGAGAAAGTTGATGCTCAGCTCCTCAGTATTCTTTGGCAATCCATTGATTCATCTCTTCTCAATATTTTCATTCCTTTTGAGACCTGCTATGATGTGTGGACGGAAGCCAAAAACCTCTCCACCAATGATATTCAACAACTTTATTCCATTGTCTCCCAGATGATGGATTTGCGCAAATCACCCGAAGCTCGTATGGAAGTTTATGTTGGTAAGATTCGTTCTTTGATGCAGGAATTTTTGGCTATGTTACCTCATGTTGCGGATGCTACAGTGTACAGGACGCAAGTGGAGCGTCTCTTTACGGTTGTGACTCTCTCTGGTCTCCCTGACGGATTAGAAAGTGTTTGTGAGAACATTCTAACCAGTACTGCGATTCCCAGCATATCCCAGACCTTTCAGCGCCTTCTGAATCTTCAAGATAAGGTGGCTCCCGCACACGTCACAGCTACTGACTCTACTGCTCTCTTGTCTGATTCTGCTGCTTTAGTCTCTCGTGGTAATTGGAACAATGGTGGTCGCGGTCGTGGTCGTGGCCGCAGACAAGGCGGTCGCGGGCCCATGACTTCATATGGCCCAGGCGGGCGCAGACAGACGATGTCGTATGGACAGGGTGGCCGAGGACAAAGGCCTCGGTGTAATTATTGCCAATATCTGGGCCACATTGAAGAACGTTGTTATAGAAAGTACCCTCACTTGAAGCCACCACATATGAACTTTGCTCAAACAGATGTTGTACCGCCCTCTACCGGATCAGTGACTATTTCCGCTGCAGACTATGAGGCCCTTCTCCAGAAGAGTTCTTCTCAGCCACCTGCTCCAGATACTGGTAATCATGTTGCTTATTTTTCTCAATCGTCTCTTGGACCCTGGATAATAGACTCAGGTGCTACTGATCATCTTTGTGGTAATAAGGATCTTTTTACTTCCCTTACCTTTTCTAATAATCTTCCCTCTGTTACTCTTGCTGATGGCACCAAGGCTGCTGCTCGTGGCATTGGGCAAGCCAAACCAACTCCCTTCTTGACTTTAACCTCTGTTTATTACATCTCTGGCATTCCTTTTAATTTAATTTCTGTTAGTCAATTGACCCATTCTCTTTCTTGCTCTATCACCTTTTCTAAACAGTCTTTTTCTATGCAGGATCCGAGTACGGGGAAGACGATTGGAGCGGGCGGTGAGTCACGAGGTCTCTACTATCTGCATGCACCCTCTGCTCCAGTTGCATGCTCTCTCACAGAGTCTCCTGAGCTTCTCCATAGCCGTCTGGGTCATCCAAGTCTCTCGAAGCTTCAGCATATGGTTCCTTTTTTGTCAGGTCTTAAGTCTTTGAATTGTCAGTCTTGTCAGCAGGGAAAGCATACTCGTTCTTCCTTTGCTAGTAGAGTCAATAAAAGAGCTGCTGCTCCCTTTTCTATTGTTCATTCTGATATTTGGGGTCCGAGTCGGACTATGTCAGTTTTGGGTTTTCAGTATTTTGTAACCTTTATTGATGATTTCTCCCGTTGCACTTGGGTTTATTTAATGAAAAATCGTTCTGAGTTATTTTCAATTTATCAAAAGTTTTGTGCAGAAATAAAAACTCAATTTGGTGCTTCTATTCAAATCTTGCGCAGTGATAATGCAAAAGAGTATGTGTCTCTTGAATTTTCTAAATTTTTGGATACACATGGGACGATACACCAGACTACTTGTCCCCACACTCCACAACAAAATGGAGTCGCTGAACGTAAAAATAGACATCTAGTTGAAACTGCACGTACTCTTCTCATTCATATGAACGTCCCACTTCGTTTTTGGGCAAATGCTATTATCACCTCATGTTTCCTTATCAACCGCATGCCCTCTTCTGTGCTAAATAATGATGTTCCCCACAGTATTTTGTTTTCCGGAGCACCTTCTTATCCTCTGCCTTTACATATTTTTGGCTATACTTGTTTTGTTCATGATCTTACTCCAGGTAAAGACAAGTTGACATCCAAGGCCTTCAAATGTATTTTCCTTGGGTATACCCGTTTTCAAAAAGGGTATCGTTGCTATTCACCTGATCTCAAGCGTTATATCGTTTCTGCTGATGTCACTTTCCTTGATCAGCAGCCTTTTCACTCTACTCCGTCTCCAGTGTCACAAGTTGATCAGGTCCTTCCTGTTCCTTTTCTTGACTTGTCTTTACCAGCTGCAGGTGCCCCTATTCCAGAGGAGCAACCAATTACCTCCATACTTGCAGATCGTCCTCTCCTCACATACCAGCGTCGTCAGCCTGCACCTCCTCCGACTTTGCCTCTTGATGACTCATCGTCTTTTCCCGTCGGCTCTTCTCCTCCGGATCCTCCATCAGAGACTCCTCCCATTGCCCTTCGGAAAGGTATTCGATCCACTCGAAATCCTCATCCCCTTTATTCTTTCTTGAGTTATGACAGACTTTCTTCACAACATTTTACTTTTGTTTCTAGTCTCTCTTCTGTTTCCATCCCTAAAACCACAGGTGAAGCACTATCTCATCCAGGGTGGCGCCAGGCGATGCTTGATGAAATGCAGGCACTTCACTCTAATGGCACTTGGGATCTTGTTCGTGCTCCTCCCGGGAAGTCTGTTGTTGGTTGTCGATGGGTGTTCACAGTTAAAGTTGGTCCTGATGGCACTGTTGATCGCCTTAAAGCTCGCTTAGTGGCCAAGGGATACACACAGATCTTTGGTCTTGATTATGGGGATACCTTTTCTCCTGTTGCTAAGATGGCTTCTGTTCGCCTGTTTCTTGCCCTTGCCGCCATTCATCACTGGCCTCTTCTCCAACTTGATATTAAGAATGCTTTTCTACATGGTGACTTGTAGGAAGAAGTTTATATGGAGCAACCACCAGGTTTTGTTGCTCAGGGGGAGAATTCTGGAATGATATGTAAACTTCGGAAATCTTTATATGGCCTGAAGCAATCTCCTCGGGCCTGGTTTAGCCGCTTTAGTTCAGTTGTTGAATCCTTTGGCTTAATCAGAAGCAAAGCCGATCATTCTGTCTTTTACCGGCATAGCTCTTCTGGCCAGTGCGTTTATCTCCTGGTCTATGTTGATGACATTATCATTACAGGCAGTGATCAGATCGGGATTGATCAGTTGAAAGAGCATTTATTCAATCAATTTCAAACCAAAGATCTTGGCAGACTTCGATATTTCTTGGGGATCGAAGTTGCACAGTCTAGGCGGGGCATTTCCATCTGTCAGAGGAAGTATGCACTGGATATCCTAGATGAGACTGGAATGTTAGGCTGTAAACCCATTGATACACCTATGGACCCCAATGTTAAGTTATTACCAGGACAGGGGGAGCCACTGCCAGATCCTAGTCGCTACCGCCGACTAGTTGGAAAATTGAATTATCTTACTGTGACAAGGCCAGATATCTCCTTCGCAGTGAGTGTTGCAAGTCAATTTCTTGATTCTCCCTGTGACTCCCATTGGGATGCAGTTATTAGAATTCTCCGATATATTAAAAAGGCGCCAGGAAGAGGTTTATTATATACAAATAAAGGGAGTTCAGAGATCTCTAGTTATTCAGATGCTGACTGGGCAGGTTCTCCTTCAGATAGACGATCCACCTCAGGGTATTGTGTTCTTTTCGGAGGAAATTTGATCTCTTGGAAGAGTAAGAAGCAAACTGTGGTCGCCAGATCCAGTGCGGAGGCAGAATATCGGGCAATGGCAAATGCAACCTGTGAGCTCATCTGGCTGAGACAATTGCTGAAGGAACTCCATCTCTGTAAACAAAGGCCTATGAAGTTCATTTGTGACAACCAAGCCGCTTTGCATATATCCTCTAACCCAGTCTTTCATGAGAGGACCAAGCATATAG